TGATTTTTCTCTGTATTATGATTATAATGTGTAATTATATATTATTATTATTATTATTTTCAAAAATTATAACACTACTTTTATCTTTAATTATAATTAACTGTTTTAATTATGGTTTATAAAAATATTGTATGTTTATCAAAATTTATTCACTTGCCAATATTTTTTAATTGTTCATAAATTTTGTTAATATTTTCTTTTTTCGATATCACACACATAATTATCTAACATATATTTTATGACAGATAGAAAATCATTGGAAATATTAAATTTTATGAATGTAACGATAACAGATAGGCGCTTGCGAATCTAGAACAGCCTACCTTCATGAAAAGCAAATGAATGGCAAGGGTTAAGCATACACGACATAAAATATGTGGCGAGTATATCTCGTTCGCTAACTTCTTGTCGCTCTTTAAACCAAACAAATTTATCGCACGAGAAATTAGACCATTTCAAGATTTAATCTTTATTTTCTTCAAAATGCGCTTTTTATATTGTGATGCGCATATCATTTTGCGCAATATTAAATTTAAATAGCGCACATTGCTCTTATTATCACTTCTACTTATTTGGAACTTTATTTTTATCTGCTCGCCATAAATTGTAGTATAAATATAATCAAAATTTATATAAAATATAAGGCAACTCACACAGATTATTGCGTACAAACTCTCTGTGTATGTGTGACCACATATTAGCGTGTTACAAAACAAATATATTATTTCAACGCGTTAAGTTTTTATAATTTTAATATTCATAATTTTCTCTCAATTTTTTTTCTCTTTTGCAATCATTATAATTTCTTTTTTTTTTGCAAGTTATATACTTTTAATATCAACTTTAAAAATTGTGCAATTTAAAAAAACAATATAAAGTTATAGAAACAGAATAAGAGAATTATGCGAAAGTAAATAATAAATATCGCGTTTGCTACAGATAAACATAAACAAATTGAAACGAACAACTAGATCAATTCAATCTTTCGTGACGCGAACGATTAGCTATGAGTGAGTATTTGCTCAAAGTGCACTGGATCGTTTACCTCCAAGTGCTATTGAAAATCAATTTCGGGAATCTTATTGAACTGTAGATACGTTACGCCAATTGGTACCCACATCTTTTGTTTCAATCAATCAACTTACGCTCGTTTTTCGCATTTACTGTTAAATATATCCGTGAGATATTACATTTCACGTTTGAAGGCTGAAATTCGCGCTCAATTATAGATGACTGATAGTATTATAAATTTTTATTTTCTTTTTTGAAGTTTTCATAATATTCTTCTATCGAACTATAAATTGACGATAGAAAGTAATGATTGGAAATTTTGATAAATCATATGTGATCTTTGTATTTCTCTTGTAACAATAGACATAAATATTAATAAAAATAGTAGAGATTATATACGGCAGACAATCCGAAAATCCTTTGAAAACATGATATATCCATCATTTTGCCAATATTTTATTTCCTTATTTAATTTCCTTATTTATTGTTGAATCAACCATCGCGAAAAACATTGAAACTCGTTTTTCAATATTTTCCTGATGTATTTCCGCACACTCGTTCTTTTCAACCGATCAAACTCAACTCACTCTTATGCTTGGAGCTGCTCTTCCACAAACTCCTAAAGAATGACATCCTAGCCCAGCGCAGTATCACCAACTCCAGCAGCTCCGAGATCTTCTCTCTCGTCACAATCTGCCTCGCCAGCTTTCTCCCGTTTAAGAGTTCGTCCCTCACTCACAATTCTCGCGATAACAAGTTCCGTTCAAAACGTGTGAAATCGAAATCGAGCAATGCTGATGATTCACTAATCGAATCACAAATCACGACGATTTATCCCCGATTTCCTGGAGTCCTCTGAAAGCTACGAGATCAGAATCAACGAAACTCAAGACGGACAAGAGCTGGCGGGATCTTCGCCAGCTCGATCTTCGGAAACACCCGCGAAAACGTGTTGCCGCGGTGGCAGCGCGCCGCGATATGAACCGTCCGGAACGGTTTATAGCGGCGCTTCGCCCTTGCAAGCGAACATGCGCATCCCCGTCCGTCCTTGCCCCGTCGCTCTTTCTCTTTCTCTCATTCTCTCTCCCACCGCCGGCCCGGATTCCGGTTCCGCTTCCGAACCGGGTCCCACACACGCCGAAAGGATAAAGATTATTTTCACACGTTTCGCGACGACGAACTCGCGACGAGTAGAAATAGAAAAATTGCAAGTCCAAAAATTTCGGATCGATCGGAAAAAAGTGTTAAGAGATGAAGATTTTAGAGCGATGAACGCAAAAATGAGAAATATTCAACGATCCGCGAATTTTACGCTACGATGAAAATTTTGGGTTGACGAGAATAATATTTAAAAAAATACTCATCGGAGAGGACCACGAATTTCGCATCGAGATAAAAATTTAAAATTAATTAAGGTCAGCACAAAGAATATTTATTTTTTACTAGGAAAACCTCAAACATTTGCCTATAACAGAATATCTTTTAGATCATAGAAATAAAAAAGTACTATTTTAATATTAGATACATTTAATTGAAACGTGGACTGATGAGATTTTTATGGAACAAGGATCCTTTTAGTTGAACGTATCTAATATATCACCGCAAATAAAAATAGAGCTTGGGCAAAAACCGACATGTGAAGAATTCTGCGAGCTTATCAGATATTTAATATATAACAGGCAAATTTAATATCGGATTAAATATCACTGAAGTGGCTGTCATCGTACGGGCTTGCGAAGCAATTTAGTATTCATCTCCGCGGACGACATAGTCGCCAAGAAATTGATGCGTTGCTCGGGCACGTTCCAGAAACATGGGACGAAGGTCTCGCCACCTAATTTCATGGGAAATACCCGTTCTAAACTTGCAGAACTTCGGATAATCTCGTAATAGGTAATAACCCTTCTAGTAGATTTAATGTGTTTACCATTTTTGCGTTTTCACGGATTAAAGCTAACGATAAAAATCACGAAAAATCATTATCGTTTCTTTAAAAAGACACTTTGAAGCAAAAATCGAATTAATTAATGTCATAATAACACATGACGTAATAAAGTTTAGAACTTCTTTTTACAAAATGCTCTATAAATTTTGAAATTGTTGATATAACATTACAGTAAAAAAGTCCAAGAAAGCTAAAAATTGTAATAACAAGAAGTTAAATGAAAAGTAAATACCTTATGATAATCTTTGTCTTTTTTAATTTATTGTAAAATGTGAGTCGAGTTAAACTCAAGTTCTCTTGTCGATTTCGGATCGGAAAAATGAGAAAGATTATCTGGTAAGTTTGAATAATTCTGCATTAGTCAGGAAAGCGAAATTGATCAGAAAACTGATATCATACTGTAAATTTTCCCACAGTGTCGAAAACTTACAATTAATCTAAGATTATCAAGTCTGCGTGTTCGGAATCGGAATCTAAAATTTTCAATAAAATTCGCAAATATATCAGGTGTTCGTGTACGCTTCTCCGATTAAATACATGAGAACGAGATAGCCATTCGATTAATGGGGGTCGTTATGCGTTCGTTAGCACGCGATTGACTTTAGACAGCAACGGCTCGAATCGATTTTGCGTGCGCTCGACGAAATTGCCAATCAATCGAGAGAAAAATCGATAGAACTGGCGGCCAATGACGCAAAAATTCGCGACGCGAAAGAAACTTCGGAATGGGAATAAACTGCTGCAAAGATCCGAGCAAGATGATTGACGAGAGAAATTGGCACGAATGTTCTTCGAAAGCCGAGTTACGAGTTTTTATGCGCCCGGCTTAACGGACATGTTGCAAAACTTTGCTTGGCCTCGTCTCCCTTTTCTCATCGCTATTGCCTAATCAATTCTTTATCGTCGCGATCTAGATCATCGATTAAAACTGACATAATTTTCGATGTATTCAGATTTTAATATTATACAAAAATTGATCTTCCCGAATTAATTCAATAATTAAAAAAAATATGTACATATATTTATCGGAATAAGTGTCGTAACTTTTTCCTGATATTCCCTGAGCAAGAATCGACTATAATTTTGTCAGAAAATATTACATGAAAGATAGCTATTTTTGGGACATTCTGTATACAAAATTGAAAATAAATATTATTGAAATTAAAAATTAACCGTTAAAGCGGTTAAAATGCAAAAGAAATATGTGATGTTTTCCGGTCGACGTTTTTCCAGGCAGTGGAAAGTATGAAAATGTGAAAATCGAGACCAACTCTGAAATCGAACAGTGGCGAATATTTTTCATTAAAACGCGACATGGAATTTTATTCGGGGTAATGGACGGTCTGTAAAAAAAAAAAACCCATGCTAAAAACCTCGACGTCACAGCTGCTGTCTTTGCATCTCTCACGTATCTTCTTTCGCCCGTTTCTTCATTCCGTTCATCGATTGGTACTTCATCTTTTCGTCCTCTTGCTGAAGCAGTTGGCATCGACAGGAATTCTGCATTTGACAATATGTACTTGTCGAACACGTTTCGCGAAACCGGATGACGTTTTTCGTGACATGTCGTAAATTTGTGTGCCGAGATAATTGAACGATTGCTTAACCGAACGTTATATACGTGACTTTTAATAATTTTATTTTCTCTATCTAAAGTGGGTAAAGATAGAAACTTTCTATAAAAAAATATTACAATATTTTAATACATATTTTTTTCTTAGCAATCTATTTCTAAAAAAAATTTATAAAAAAATATTCTGTAATTTAAATTAGTTACGTTCTTGAATCATTTTATTATTCTTCTTTTGATGTAATATATGCGAGTATAAATACATTTAACTAGAATAATTAATAAAATTTATATGACTGTAACATTAATATATGTATACATAAATCTTGTTTAAAACACTCACAAAAGCATCATCTAATTAAAACTGTAAAGACAACATTAAATTATTATTTCCAAAGTTTTGAGATAATAAAATTTCTATGTATGTAGATTTGTATGTGTGGTTTCATTCTATTCTATTTCATTCTAATACTATCAAGATTAATTTTTTTTCTATCTAAAAATAAAATATGTGTATGTTTCCCCATTATAATGGATTTCATATATAATCATAGTATATCGAATTTATAAAAAACTTTCTATATAAAAACTCAATAAGACTCGTATATAATTTACTCTTTTTTATCTTACTTATCTTTAAATAACCCATATATAATATATGTATCCCATATATAATATATAATATCAAGAAACTCTAATTTCACAATTTCGTATATCCCAGAATAATAATTATATATTGATCGCGGTATCTTTCATCTCGTATGATACATCGGTTGCTACTCCATTAGCTTTGCAACGACACAGCTGACATCGTCGACAGCGAGTCAATCCCAAGTTTGGCACGTTCGTCAAGCACACGCACGACACACACACGTGCGCGCACGTGGTTCGATACGTCGTCGTATACGGTCATCGGTCATGCAACGCGGTACGAATTCCATTACGCACGATTATGCACGGTATTATGCGTGACTCGGGATTCGCTCTGTAATTTCGGGTCTCTCCTCGCGGGATACGAACGAGGTATTGTTACGCAATGTTGTGCAGATCAGGAATGTATTAATACAAATGGGATATGAAGAATTTCATGAAACGTTTGACAAACTTTATGTAATGTATAGGAAAAAGAGAGACTACACTTTTCTTTCCTTATACATTTATTCCTATATATTGCATAAAGTTCGGTGAATATTTCACGAAATACTTCATATTCCATAAAGATTGCTTAATTTTGGTACAAGTTTTCGCGAAACATTTTATATTCAATACCAATTCAGAACGAGAGTGAATTAAATTTGTTATATGTAGAATTTATTTTAAATGTGGAACAATATAGCTATAAAATGAGAATATATAAATGAGATTTAAAATATTTAAAATATAATATTTATAATGTGATAATATCATCTCATTCCTAAAAAAGATTTAGGAATTATAGGTTCGACGTACTCCAATTTGAAGGCTGTATTTATCACTCTATCTTCGACCCACACAGAATAGTATTGGCTGCTCCAATTTCAAGATATTGATCTATATATATTATAGTACACTTCGATATAACGCATTTGCAATATTATCATGTAACAGAGATGCATGAATACAATATTTAAAGTAACCGCAATTAATCGAATATCATTAATTAATTATCATTATTAATATATTATTATTACAGCCACTTCTTAGAGAGATTATGATATATTGTCGATGTCATCGATCACACTTTTTAAAAATTTACAATGTATTTCAACTTGTTATAACGGAAAGTTGCTGCGTTTCGATGCAAATCACTATTGCTCGAGTAATATATAACGAGTAAAAATGCATCTTTTAAAAGAAGCGCATCCAGCAGAAAGTGGAACTCGTGCGTTTATCAAAGAGTACGATATTTTAATGAATCTCAATTTCGCATGGTAAGCAGATCCACTTGAATATTACTCGAGTTTTTATTAAAATTGGCAAAGAAGTGCACAATTGCACGTTGCATCGTTAATTGGAAGCATGTCTCGAAACTGTTTTTTCACGCAACAAAAGAATTATTCTCGAATGCCATGGCTTTACAAACGTCATATTATGACGGCGGATAATTATAATGCTGATCGATTACTTATAACCTTGTAAGTGCGATTCTGTTAAAGGGCATTGCGTAAGAAATTACAATAAATCATTCTATTGTGGATGCAAAACGGTGCAATACGAAATCGAAGGACGGTAATCAATAATGGATGTAATAATCCATTGTTTCTCGAGAATAATACAACAATGCATCTCGAATTTTTTATATACATATATAGGTAAACGTAACATGCTCAAGAGAGAGAGAGAGAGAGAGAGAGAGAGAGAGAGAGAGAGAGAGACACCGTTTAAACGATTATTAAATTTTCATTTAATTTTCAATAAAGGTTTAGATATATATAACGTTATATATATCATATTTTATTTAAAATTACCTGTCTGTATGAATTATATTTTTAACAATTTAACAAGTCAC